CACATCTTCGAACCAGCAGCACAGACGAGCTATACAATCAGCACAGTTTCAAAGTGGACACCCAAGATTAGTGTCACCAATTCAGTATTCGACTTCAGATATGGTGTTCGATAATGGCCAGAAAGAACTTTATGATGTCACAGTGAAGCTAACCTTTGCGATATAAAATTCTATCACTTCATCATTTTATCTTATTAGACATTTGTGTATTATTTTGGCATAATTAGCGAATTAATTCTTGAGTAATGTCAAAAACATGTGTTTTATGAGGTCACGCTGACCTTTGACCACCAAAATCTAATCAGTTTATCCTTGAGTCCTGGGGGATGTGTGTGCCAAATCTGACAAAATTCTCTGAAGTTCATGAGAATCAGACGGATGCAAGCTCACAGTGATCTTGACTTTTGACCACTAAAATCTAATCAGCTTATCCTTGAGTCCAAGTGAATGTTTGTGTCAAATTTTAAGAAATTCCGTCAAGGTGTTCCTGAGATATCACGTTCATGAAAATGGGACGAACGGAAGCACAACCCAAAAACTTCACTGTGGTCGTGGCTGTCACTGGTGCGGAGGCATAATAATCATCAGCAAACCAAATACCTACAATAAAGTGCACCACATGACTTCTTTATGTATCAGTTTGAGTACAAAACTTGCAAGAATAATTAGGGCTGCCACTAATAGTTATTTCCATTATCACTTAATTCACGTTTCAAGTTTATTTGTCATATACACAATTATACAAGTACAATGTGCAGGGAAATGCATATGTGTTCCAGGCTGATCACAAGTTAAAAACAAAAAAACAATAACTTAATAACAATAAACCTAACCATAAAATTTTATAGTGTAATTGTGACCGTTTGATAACGTAAGAATGTGTTTAATACTATGACTGTTAGGACAGTAAGGACATGTCATTTTGGAGATGATCATATAAGTCATTTTGGAGGTCAGTAAAATTTGACCTATTCTGTTGTTTAGGTGTGAGAGTGTTGATTTTGGAGAATATTAGCCAAGACACTTCCTCTTTATCAGGACATTCTTTTTTTGTTCTTCCATTGTGTTTCTGGCAGATCACCGATCTGCAAACAAGCTCCGACGTAATAGAAAAAAACGTTGTCAGACTCACCAATTGATGACGCAGAACCATGTCTGTTTGTTCTATGCATTGTTTTATCTTGTCAAAAATGGATCCATCCTACATTACCCATGATGCGGCTCTAATGGCTGACCCTTCATACAGTACTGATTAGCAGTGCTCGGGAGTAATGTCTACGTGTAATTAAACTAGGAGTTTAACTAAAATTTGTAGTTGTTGACATTTTGTCGTTATTCTGTAACCATGCCAGGCAGTGGCAAGCGGAAACGCAGCCAGACAACGTCGTAAGTTAAGGGGGCAAAAGTCAGAGTAGGGCGGGTGGGAAGGGTGATGCATGGGTCCAACAACCACCGACTTTCACCCGGGAGGCCGGTGTTCGCTTCCCGAAAGATGGTAAAGCCAAATCCTGTTTTTTATCCTGAACCCAGCCATGTGCTTTCATTGCTTAAACACAATCAAGTGCGTGTGTTGGCTAAACGGAACCATGCGCATTTGATGCTGAAGGAAAAAAGACATCAAATTACAGTGTTGTACTGACATAGTGTGTTTATTACGACTGAACGCAAACTGTACATTTCCTGTGAAAACAAAAGAGTATTTTGAAAAGACACAATGCATGGCACAGGCAGAAGTTGACATGGCGGCCCAGAACTTCAACCAATGCACCCAGGATTCTATGCACATCAGATGTCTACATGAAAAGTCCATTACCAAATGTTAATATGTGACGAGGTCAGAGTGAGAATGTTTTAGCAGCAGAGATGAGCTGTCAGCCACACAGTTCTGGTATAAGCTCACTTCTTTCAGATTTTTTTTCATTGCCAAACTTGTCTCCAGCCCAAAACAACTATGACTCAAATGACATCACTTGAGGACATTTATCAGACTTCACGCAGCTCCCTCTGTAGTCTACAGGCTTCATCCTATAACGTTTTTATTATATTTATGAGTTAGAATTGCTCAAACACACTTTTAATGCTTTACAATTGGTGGAATTTCCCCTTAATAACATGACTATGTCATCACTACTTCATTATCATCAATCTCATGGTTGTTTTAAACTAACTGTAATAAGTGTGACTTTTTATAGGTATGCATACCAAATAAGCAGTGTTTGATTATCAGATATCGATCTACCCATCCTAATGTAACACATCTGTAATGTTTGTGTGTGTGCGTGTGTGTGTGTGTGTTTTGACAGGAAGGTTCCGCAGTATAAGTGGCTGCTGCCTGCAGGTTTTAAATCCAGCAGAAGGTCTTAAAGAGGATTATGGGATGTGCGAGGCTCTAGGTCTGAGCTTATTGAGACAATTAACACAACTAACATATGGTCACACACCACCCTGTCTGCACCAGTGGACTCTGATGACAGTGTTTTCTGATATTTAGCCTCTGAAAGTCTGTAAAGCTACATGACACCTCCAGTGGTTATAAAAAAACCAAACAAACATATCATCACCACAGTGATGTGAAATCAATGGTACGCAGAGAGCCTGTGTTCCTGCTGCTGGGGGATGGGGCATAAGCTCAATGGTAGACCCTCTTTTTGTCTGTGCTGGACTCTGCCATGTTGGGCACACTGGCCCTGGTGTGAATGGAGGCCTCTGGACTCAGCCAAGGCTCATTGTAAAGAGGCCCCACAAGCTTTTAATCGATTTGACGGGTTTGGATCCAAATCCTGGACCTGAGGACTGGAGCTGGAGCAGCCAGAGAGCAGTTTTCAAGCCCTGTAGAGGTTTTATGTGTGTGTGTGTGTGTGTGTGTGTGTACGAGAGAGAGAGGCTATGACCAATTACAGTGAACACACACAGACACACACAGACACACACACACACACACACACACACACACACACACACACACACACAGACACAACACAGGTTGTAATGTGGCTACAGATCATATTTTTTGACTGAAGTCACCAGTAGTTTAAAGTCTGAGCTGTGTAATCCAATAATCTCATTGCTAACACTCGGTTTTCCAGGGTGTCTTCCAGAAGTGTGGACTTGAGTCACATGACTTGGACTTGAATCACACTCCAGTCACGAATCTGATGACTTAAGACTCGACTTGACAAAATTAAACAAGACATCTAACTCCAATGGACGTTACCAGCAATGACTCGTGACTTCACTTGGACTTGAGCCTTTGACTTGAGAATACTCGATACCTTCCTGCTAAGATTAAAATATATGTTATTTAAAACTGTGCCATGAATTACCTAATGTCACTTTATTTACTGAATCAACTAATGTTAACACTATGTATTTCCACAAGGCGGCATCAGCTTGTTTAACTTTATTCACACAAACCAGTCACTCATCTCAGGGAAAAGGTTTGAGCAACGGTCCTGTGCTTAATGTGGCGTTAAAAGTTAATGGTTTGTTAGTCAAGGGTCATCAAGTTTTACTGACAAAAGGCCGAAAGGACAAGTTTTACTGCTGAGCATATGGTCAGCAAACAGAGATGAACACCACCTGTAACACTGATGGTGACTACAGGGTGACTGAGACCGTTTAAAAGAACCAGGCTGAGGGAAAAGTTTCCTCAGCTGAGCAGATGTCCAACAGGAGTTATCATAGGAAGAAAGAGTGGACATAGCGTGGATCATTTTAGCCAAAAACAGGTGCTCCAGCCAGTTGATAATGCTTACAAAAGACAATGCTCTGCATACTTTATGCATCCGTGTGTTTTCTTTTAGAGTTCCAAAGCAAGGTGTGTAAAGCAATGTGATTAGGGTCAAATACATTGTATTCAATTAATGCCAGCCTCACACAAAAATGACTTTTCAAGCGATTTCACTGTCACAGACATATTCCTCATGTTGGAATAAAATCATGAGAGTTATATTTCAGTTGCAGCGTGCTTCCATGGTCTTGATTGTTTGGTGTTAAGTGGTCATCAACTCAAGTCTGAAACTAAAATCTTATCTTAAGTTTTCAGTCTTGGCTTATTCAAATACTGAAGTTCAGTGACGTGAACATTGTTGACAACCAGTAGCTGCGCCTTCTCCAGCACCAAACAGGAAGCGTCACCAGATAGATAGTAAACATGGAGGGGGCTCTGGGGAGGCGCCAGAGTGTGAACAAGTATTGGTTCTGTTTTGTGAACAAGGGAGTGAAACTGGTGGAGTTGTGGTGTGAACAAGAGTCAGTTCAGTGTGTATGTGATCCACCAACCTGCACTTATTTTAGTGAGATTTTTTTTAAATTTTGGAAACAGATCACCTCTCATTCCCATGGTTTCCTCCCTCTAAAATAGTGCAGCTAATCAACGGGGGCTAGTAGCAAGATCCAAAATGTAAAGTTTGTACACATATACAGTTTATCTTTATGGAACATACTGATGCCCAACTGTCCAATACTGTGGACATATTACACATTTTATCTTGTGTGTCTAGAGTTATGTGTTTTTGCAGACACACAATGACTTGTTAATTTGTCATATTACTTAAAGGGAGTTTTTATCAACATTTTCCACCAGAGGCAGCATGGGAAATAATCTCAAAAGGAATCTAGTTGTAGTCTTGCAAATAGCAACTGTAAGATCCCCAGTCTTTACTAAATCTAGTATGACTAAAGACGCATGTTGTCTTTAGATGTGAGAGAGGGTCAGAATTTAGTCTTTTAAAAGTCTTTCCAAAGTCTTCTAGTGTATGGAAGCATTACTCTGAGCTTGCACACATGCAGGCTGCATTATATTCAACACATCAAAAGTGAAATAGACCAACTCATATAATGCCAAACAACATATCTTATATCTACTTACAACAGCAGACGAACAATACCAACAAACAAATCGTCTGAAATCTTTTGTTATGGCAAGGTATACCAGCACATGAGGCCAGCAGTTTTGCATGTGGGTTTTAAGTGTGAGCAGTGGTGTGGTTGGTTGTTACCTGGAATGGGTATGACTGGGATCGTCTCATTGGGTACCACCCTAGGTGAATTGCTGTCTTCCACGTAGAAGTGGGCTGTCTGGAAACAGCGCCTGATGGGAAGGGAGAGAGAGGTTATAGTTTAACAATGCTTTTTTTCCCCCAGAAGGTGGGAGTTTAACAAAGTCCTGACTCATTCATGCTCTCGCTTTGCTCATGCAGTGCTTTCGCTTATGAGACACAGTCAACTTGGTAAACTAGTTTTTTTTGACCATGTCAGCCATATTTCCCGAACCTTAAAGGAAATGGCCACTTTAGAATGAAAATACAGACAGTACTTACTCACCCTCTTTCCGACAAGAAGTCCAGTGTAGTTTTTTAATCCACAAAACTCGTTTGGGGTATTGGAGGATAACAGCTCACCGGTATAACAGCTACACTTGAAGTGCATGGAACCCACATTTTGAAATGTAATAAAACATTTCAGAAACTTCAGAACGGTTTGTCCGTTGTAATCCAAGTGCCCTGAAGCCGCAGCATGCAAAATTGACTTGAAAAAACGTAATTTACTCCACTTTTATAGCATCATTTCTCACCGTGGTCAGTTAGACTAGCTGATGGCTAGTGGTGGTGCTAGTTTTCGAGTCTCGCGCAAGTTGCCTTGTAAACACAGCACGCCTGCAGGGCAGGCTAACTGACCACGGTGAGAAATGATGCTATAAAAGTGGAGTAAATTATGTCTTTTCAAGTCAATTTTGCATGCTGCGGCTTCAGGGCACTTGGATTACAAGTTTTATTACATTTTCAAAATGTGGGTTCCATGCACTTATGTTATTCCGGCTAGCTGTTATCCTCCGATACCCCTAACAAGTTTTGTGGATTAAAAAACTACACTGGACTTCATGTTGGCATGAGGGTCAGTAAGTACTGTCTGTATTTTCATTCTAAACTGGCCATTTCCTTTAAGCAAGGTTGTATTTGCTAAAATTGACCGAATGTTAACCAGAGAAATGGCAGACCAGAAAATTATCTTATTTAATCATTTTTGTAACTGCTTTTGAAGGACTGATGATAGTGATTGCTAATTAGAAAACACTAATTTTGGTCATTTTGAAAAGCAACGCTATTAGAACTATTTTGTTGTTCAGGCTGGAAGACTTTTTGCACTAAACAAAACTTTTTTTTAAATGTTATTTTAGGGAGCAGGAGCAGGTTCAGTCCTCTCTCGTAGGCCAGCTCTGTGTAGTGAAATCTTGAGAGGGACCTCAGCTACACACTACAATGATATTTTATCCACTCCGTGTACAGTTAATCTCTGAGCGAGAGAGGTGTGTTTGTGTGTGGAAAAAGAGAAAGAGAGAATACAGATTTCATCATCGCAGTCAGTAGTCCTCCTCCCTTCAAAGTACATAAAAATGGCACAAATGGACTTTGAACGTCACACAAATGGTGCGTAAACACACACACATACACACACTTATGCGTCCACACACACACACACACACACAAGAGTCTTTTAAGGTTGTCAGAGCTGCCACTTTGCCACTTTTCTCATGAACAACGCCACAGCGTCCTACTGGTTTTATACCAAAATGACTTGTCTAATTTCAAAGCATTATGTACTGTAGCTGACACAAACACAAACACACTCACACACAGACACAGAACGTGCCTCGCTGAAAGTGTGTTTGAAGTCACATAGATGTAGAAGCTGTCGCACAGAGAAGCTTTTAGGAGTGGATACATCAGAAGGACTCCGAGCGTGTTTCTAGTCTGTGACAGTGACTGTGACAATTCACAAATGTGATGTTTTGACAATCAGACTGCTTTGAAATGAAGATCTGCATCAGGCATTTAGACACAAGTTGGAGTTTAAATACAGAGGTATCACATGTCTTCTCTCTCAGAAAACACTCAAAGATGTAAAAAACCAATCCACAGACAGAGAGCATGAAAAAGAAGTAGACGAACTATGTTTACATCCAGCTGTCAGGCTGCTTTGAGAAAACTTAAAAAGGCTCTATGTGAAATTCAGAAAGTATGAGTTATTTGGTTTTCAATATGGAGGTGGCTAGCAGCTAACGGTACTAACAGTGCTTAACAGTGCTGAAAGAGCTAATGGTGTTACTCAGACAGGAAGTGGAGGATGGGTGCTATGCTTTTGCAACAATGCTATTAAGAAAAGCTGTACAATCTTGTGGTCATGTAAATAATGACTGCTGCCTGCTGAGAACACAGGCGGAAGTAGCATGATGTTGTTATAGTGCTACAGGAGAAGGGGTTTGATGTTTAGGTGCACAAAGTAATCTAATAGCCCATGGGTTCTGAAATTGCTAATCAGACTGCAAACAATGACCTGTGCATGGAGGTTAGGTTAGGTTATTGTAGTTGGGTTTAGGAAAAGAAACATGGTTCGGTGTCTTTAGGTTTAGGCAAGTTAAGTTTTTTGGTTAGGTTTAGGAAAAGAAACACGGTGAGGATGTACTTTAAAATCCCGAAACACCCCAACCTGCTCAGGACTGCTTCCTTGTTAACTGCCATCAGTGCATTACTCACTTTATCGCAGCCTTTCAAAATACCTGGGATGTGTACACATTGCTTTGTGTAGGAAAACATACAAAAAAATGCTGAGAACAGACTGAAATATGTCACTTGAGCAAAGTTAGTACGTGACAGACAAACATTAGCTACATAATGTTATGTCAAAACAGCACTCACTTTTGGTTTCACGTGGGACACAAACAGCTATCTCTTGTTTGAAAGGTTGGGGCATGACAAAGCTTCTGAAGACCTTGGAATGAGAACAGGCTAGCTCGCTACATCCGAATCCCTGACACATTGGTTCCCACAGCTAAATCTCCATCAGACTGATAGCAGATGGGCTCCAAGGTTGTGCACAAAGTGTCTGACTTTGACATGAGACTGCTATTGCCGTCCTGTCTCATTCAACAGTCATTGTTGGTTTCTTTCAACCATGACTACAGTCTTCCCTTAACCTTAACCAAGTAGTTTTAGTGCCTAATATTAAACAAACTTTAACCATACAGGTGGAGGATCAGAACATGTTCACGTGAATTGATTTTGACAACAATCACGTGGCTTGGTTTAGAAAGCACTACTACATGACCTTTATTGCTATTCAGGTATGGGCATGTTGCACTGCCCCTACCCCTAACCCAAAACCAAATGTTTTGTCATTTGGATGCAAAGATTTGTTGGATGAGGATTGATGGTAACCGGATTTTCAAATAAATACAACACTGTAAATCTCTCCACCAAAAAGATACACAGAACCCCCCCAAAAACACAGTATCAAAAAAGCTGCTGAGGCGAAAATGTTACTAATTTCATTTAAGTAGTGAAACAGCACTGATTTCACTCTGAACCAGAAATACACTAACGTTAAGTTATGTCATCCTGTGCCTTCTTGACACCAAACTAATTTGTATTTTTGTATGCACACTTGAAATAAAAACACACCTACTACACCTACCCCTACCAATTCTTATACACTTCATTCCTGATACAATGTGTTAAAATGAAGGACAGCCACATGCCTTGTTTTAGAGTCAACAGTTCAACTAAACTTACTGACCGTGTGTGCTATCATCTATCCTTTATGGTGCTCTTATCTGCTACTACAACTTCCACTGTCAACAACAGTTACCCAACACCCACTGGCTCTATTTGTGTGTGTGTGTGTGTGTGTGTGTGTGTGTGTGTGTGTGTGCGCGCGCGTGTGTGTCCAGACCCTCCCTACCTGTATTTGATACAGAGCAGAGAGCAGAACGTGTTCATCCTGGTGAACAAGCAGAGGTGGGAGGCTGCCGCATGCTGTAGCTGACATGTACTGAGAGCGAGTGTAGAGGGACGGAGAGACAGAAGGAGGGAAGGCAGAGGGAGGGAGGACGGGCTTTCCTAACAAGGCATGAAGGGGGTTGTTCCCTCTCTGTGACACCAACACACACACACACACACACACACATACACACACACACAAACCACAGGTCAATCCCAAGCCACTTCCTGGTGTGAGACAGCTGGTGTCGTGATGCGTTCAAGTCACACGGGACATAGTTGACCGAATTATGTTGTGGTTCAAAGAAATTATCTACAAACTGAGCGGAGGTCACAGTAAAGAAAGTAAGATAAATCACCACTGTGAGCAAGAACTAAAAGCCAACCTTTGATACTTGGTAGTTTTCTGTCCTCAAAAAGAAGTTCCTGTTCCCTGCTCCATGTTAAAGTACTGCAGTCAGTGTGCTGGTTATTAGGTATGAAGGGTTTCATCTGGTTCTGAGCGGAAAACAGATGTTAAGAAATCACTCTGTACCTATAAATGCGTTAAAAGATAAAGTCAGAATATTTTCTTAAGATATGACTTTAGGAGATTTTGGGTTAAATAGAAGTCTTTCACACCATTTTACAAGTGTGTAAAAAAAAAATCACAAGTGACATTTATGTAAAGTAAAAATGTGAATACTACCAAATTTTAAAAAATAAAATATCATCCCACTGTCCTGCATCCCTAGATATGACTTGAGCACTGCATAATGTTCCCAGATGTTCTTTATCAGGTAAGGTCCAATACAGGGTTTACAGTAAATATTGCAATATAAAGTAAGGTAAACTTTTTGTTGTTAGGAAGCTCATGTTTACCTCTTTCCCATACGACCTGAATGCAGCAGAGCAACAGTTTGGATAAAGAGGGCGCAGCAACTGCTATTGGAGGGCCAATGGGACGGCAGCAGGGGTGGAGTCTATGCGGAACACGGGGTTGTGACCTGAGCTTTGCTCCACAATAGGATTAAATACCCCACACTCCCCCCAGCACCTGGCCTCTGGGCGTGTGTGTGTGTGTGTGTGTGTGTGTGTGTGTGTGTGTGTGAGTGAGAGAGAGAGGGTTACATACAATTTCTCCACACTTGTGGACCAGCCAGTGCATACCAGTCTTTTCAATAAGAACTCGGAAAGCAAGACTGGACTTTGGTCCAGAGATTCAGATCCAGATCAACTTTACTATCCTGCACAGGGGAATTTGTTTGGTCCATTGCTCCAGACATAGAAACACCATAAAATCCACAAAGGCAACAACAGAACAGCATCCACAATA